ACTTTCCTCGGCACGGTTATATACTATCTATTATGAACGTTTGCTGTGTGAAGATCCAGTTATAAAATGTGGTTCTCAGTAGCAACTCTATCTTGAAATACTGGTTTCATTCGTATTGATTCCGTACTTCTGCTGGTTCGTTCAATTTTTCTCTCAATTTTTTTTCATCCCACGGCTACCAGGCTGCGGACTTTGTTCAGTTGGGAAAACTCATTCTCGGTGTAGCTTGTGGAACAGCTGAGGCAATACAGGTAGGTTGCTTTATTCGGCCAAATTGACGATTTTTTGATGAAATAAACTCAGTGTTTCATTGACACTTTGGCTACCAACGATTTTTTACACTTCTAAGGGTTGGAATGAATTTTCATTCTGGTCAGTTGTGAACTTCCGACGAGTTGGTGTTTATTGATTGGCTTTACAATATGGTTTCGATGTAAATAAGAATCAGATCATTCAACAGTGCTGCCGCGTTCTAGTTACGGCTCTCTAGGGAGATACATAAAACATCAGTTTTCATTGTCGTTGAAACATTTTATTTTTATCAGATTAACACTTTCGCTGAAGTTTTCGACATGCTTTTTGCCTGCTTTATTTTCCCCATAAAAAAAACTTAGTTCAATTTGCTTTGCTGTATTTAACCAACTTACATTTAGCGTATTCTACCCCTGTTTTGCGAAAATCCTTATCTTTTATCCATTTTTGTTGATGAAGCATCTCTTAGACTAGGGTGTACATTAATTCAACCTTTCCTGTCTTTCTCCTAATTTTCATCCAAATGGGTAGCAAAGATAGCAACCAAAACCGGCGCACGATAGTGCATGGTTAATGGTTGTGCAAACTGAAACTGAAATTACAGTCACACTATTCCTAATATCCTTGCTTGTAAATAAATTTAATGCCCCCAAAAGTGTCTACTATCTGGGAATACAGAGGACAGAAATGAGGGAATTCGGAAAGAAACATAAGTCATTTATTTTGATTGCGGGTCATTTGGCGGTGTGTGGTGACTTGGGCGTTTGGGCTTATTACTTTCGATTGCTTAATCAATGTTCATCGTGTCGGTAATTAGATGCGCCATTTAGATGTGTGTTCTGATACCTGATTTGTCCGACTGCGCTCCGTCTTGCCTTGATGAGAGTCTTGGGAGCTGAAAATGAACCGATAAACAACTTATGCGACGTTCAGTCCTGTGGGATTTTTGAGTAATGACGAGCTCAATTGTGACACCCCAATGAACGTCGATATTTGGATACTTTTGAGAACAAATTCAAAACCGAATAATGGGTGTTTGGCAGATTTGAAATTTGTATGGCGATTGTGAAAAATTCAGTTACCTCGGTGGTAGAGCGTGCGCGTTCAAAGCGTAGGCGGCGTTCATGCGTGGGTTCGAATCCTACCGAGGCTGCTAAACTTTTCACAATCGCCATAAAAATAGAATAAGTTGCTTAGATATATGATCACCTCTGAAGCACAACCATTTATTTAATGTATCTCGGTGCCGTTTTTCCACGAGCATACTACCTTCGATGCAGGCGAAAAATTGTGAATGTACCAAAGACAAAAGATACATGCGTTCATTGTTACGGGGATTAGAACGGGACCAAGAAAACTTTGGCTACCAGGTGTGAGCCAACCTGACGGGTAATTTCCGCTGTTTGCACAATTAAGAGATGACGATTTTACGCTAGTGCTTCAGCTTATTCGAATAACTTAACATTAATGGCGGTGCGCCGAATTGGAAATCGCTTCTTTTCATTGTCAACTATTGAAGTTAGATTCTCTTAGCATTTGTATTCTTTGTGCTTCCTAGCGGAATTGTTTGGAGGCTTGGGGGGGGGGGATGGCTAAGGACCTTTACCATCTTTGATATCAACGTTACATCCAGACTTGGTGGTATTGTACCTAATGGATTTGCTGTTTTCAGAATCGATCTAAATTGCAGCTTTTTGCATACACAACAGGCTTAAGTGTGCTGTACGACAAATTTCAGGCATGCAGAACTAATTTCAGTTCACTTTGCACCGCCATCAACCTTGCACTTCGACTTTGGTGGCTGTCTTCCGACTGCCCGTTTGATCCACTAGGGAGGAAGAAGCCAATGGAAGAGGTAAAAGATAAAAGCAGCAGTGCGTTGAAGACACAAACTACGACAAAACTAGATCTGCATAAAAAAAAGTATATTTACGTGCACGACAATGGACAACACTCTTCCCTATCATTCGGGGTCTTCGATCATTGATCATTTCGGTCACTTGGTCCTCAACCATGTAGCCGAATCCCCCGGTCAGAGTTTTCATAGGTTATAGTTTGACCACTTTTGTCTTTCTTACTACGAGGAGATCATCCTGCGTGCAGTCTTTGTCAATTTTAGTGTATGACGATTCTATAGCTCACTTTTCTACTCTTGGGTTACTTTCACTCACATGCCAGCAAATCAGCTTCACGAATGATTCCATTACGAATCCGAGGAATACGGTACAAAGTGGTATTCCTGATGTTCATTCATCTTTGTCCAGTGAGGATTCACTTGTAACCCTTGCATAGCCGTCTATGGGGACGGTGTGATAACGATAATCTCCTTTGGTGATGAACCAAAGTCACACACTTCACGGTGCTCTATACTGATATCGGTAACTTTTTGACGGAAAGCTATTAATTGCCAAACGGAAACTCCCTTATCCTCGGGTATGGTCGCTGGTCTTCCGTGACCGCCTATTCAGTGAACCGATTGTCATCCAAGTGGCCGTTTTTGTCCGTGACCTGGAGAAGAACCTGATCGTATTCTAAGTAAACCTTGAATGCATCTTCTAGGGAATTACCCGTCCTTGAATGCTGCGCATAACCATCTTTCGGTATTCATTCACTCTAGGTAATATTTATGACTGACAATAATCAAGACTAATAAATCTTACCTCTGTCCCTGAACTTGTATTCTCGTCCTGAACAGACCAGCCAACGTGCCACATCATTCAACCTGCTTCAGCGAACTTATCGACCTGAACTGGTTACTCTAATTCGCAGTCTTATCTCTGGGCAGATAACTGGTGTGGATCAGTTGACCAGAGCAACCGCTCCGTTTGCTTACGACCAGCTGACTCGTGTGACAGATCATTCCGATTTCCTCGAGCGTCAATTGTTTCTGGTAAATCTGTTCTGTTTATTGGTAGTTTATCATGTACTAGACCGTTTGCATAAGCATGCATGTTTATCCGTCCTATACCGGACCCGTCGAGATGTCCGACGGGTCACAATTGACGCATCTTTTGCGAAAGACTCATTTCTTGTCAACTCAAAGGATTTTCTGATCTGTTGATAACTTATTTGCTTGTTTTAATATCTGAATTTAACCAGACATTGTTCTCGTACACGCTGTCTTACTCCCATTGATATACATCATTCCTTGTTTTTTTACTGATTCTCCTCATTCACTGCACTGGGTTTCGCTCTCTATGTCGGTCACATTTATCTTGAGTGAACTTTATAACGCCATCCTTTTTACCCCTGGAGTATAGGATTATCATGTTCTCTCGATGAGTTCTACGCACAGGAATCGGACTTTGATCCAGATTGTCGGTTAGAAGGTCTGCAAACCATACCGTCCACTCCTCGCTGGGGTCGTATTATTTACTGATGCATTTACATTGATTTAAACACTAAGCTATTTGGATAGAAAGCAATTTCCCAGATGTTTATCGATCAGCTGCAATCGTCCAAAGCGGACATTCATCTGACATGCACTCCCGGTTTTGAATTCTCAGGATAGAAATTCACGGTGCATTCTCTCCTGAACAAATCGCGGTTATTATCTGAATTTCCAAACAGATCTCTATCCTGCTCTCGCAGTAATTGCATGTGTTCCAGCCTCTTACCCAAATTTGTCGCATTGTATTATTTGATTTTTCTTTCTTTTTGCAAGAGCATAGAATTGTTAGTATAGCTCGGCAATACAACAGGCTTAGGTACACATCTTTTCATTGTTTTTTTTTTGCGCCAGGGAATGGAATGTGACCGCCTGTTTCGTTTGGTGACGAAATTATTGTCGATAGTTGAACGGACGGAGTAAGTAATCAAATTCGAATTGCTCGCTCTGTTCTCATTCGTTGCCGTAATATTGGTTCGGAATTGATTCGAAATACCGTTTATAACCATTTTATAACAGTAACACCACTGCTAGGCTTTCCCATGAGGTGAAAGGCAAACTTGATCAATATCAACACGTTTTACTTGTACCCCCGGTATATAATTCCTCACCCCGTATACATCTATCGGTGAGATTGTACTCTATCAATGAGTTAATTCTTTCCATTCTCCCGTTGTCCCTTTAATCCTCCACTGTCTAGCCAGCAATAAGTGAATCAAATAAGTGTGTATTCCGGTCACTATATGCAATGCATCGCCAGCAGTCAGTGCCAATGATGCTGGCTTCACTTCAAGCTCGTTTGTCTCACCTTAACCCCTCATCATTGTTGTCTGGCAACTTGCTAAGTCAAAATAAAAAATGTCCCACATTTTTATTATGTTCAGCCGAAGTGTATATTCTCCAAAGCGCTAAGCCATATACAAATACAGAAGCAATCAGGTAGGTGGTCATGTTTTGTTCATTACCCACCAATATTGCCGATAGTCATCACGGTGTGCCGTCATCGATCGATACAGCCAGTGAACTGCGATACCATGTAAGTATCATCACGTCGCTTGACTCAATACCACATCCAACCAGGAGGAATCTGTATGTGGTTCACTGTTGCTATTCCGAGACCGTCGGCGGCAAGTTTCCGTAGTCGGTTAGTAAATCACACCGTATGTAATTCATGCATTCCCCTGTGCGATAAGTGGGCTTCTATTATTCATTTATTTTACTAATGTTTTAGCTAACCGTTCTTCAGACTTCCCATTTGCGTACATTCATCAACTCATCCAGTCAGTTGTACACTCAAAAGCCAATAAACTCCATTTTTCGCTCTTCCGTAATGCATATCCACTCCCTCCCTTGATTTTATTGGCCGGGTTCGAACTCTACCAGTTTGTTGATAGGCACCTTCGATGTCGGCCTGTTCAATACCAGGCCTTACCTAGCGGAACCTTATGTAGTTTGCCACTTCAGGTTACCGGTTTCCATGATTGGACANATTGGACAACAGGTCCTCGTGATTCTTGGATTTACCCCGTCTGCTGTTCGTCACACTTAGGTGTGTAATAAAAAGAAATAAACAAGACATACCTTTTACACGAGTCGTATCTATTACCTGTGGATAAGAAGACGATTGTTGTTGTTTCCTTACCGCAAATTGATAGCACGTTCAAGTAATATAATAATAATAATAAAATATGTTGCACGAAATTCTGTGAACTTCACCCTGTGCTCCTGGAGTACGTATCGCTGTTAACCTCACCTCAAGAGAATAACGTTACCAATCGCACTGACCTGTATTATTCAGAATTGAATTCAGACATACTTCTGAGTTGTCTGAAGTTCCAGATTTTCTGACTCATGAAGGATAACCGTCTTTAATTCTTGGTTAATGTGAAATGCCTTTCCGTGCGTGTAAACTTGCCCCATGCATAGACTCCAGATATTTCCACGGGTTGTAATCCAAGCTGAGTTGATCATTCCATGGTCTTGATGTTTCGGTACAGCAGGCATATTCTGAAGCGGTTTTCCCTGTATAAAGAGGTATAATAGTATCCGGAAGTCATGATTCCCAGATAGAAGAAATACGTTCAAGTTTCCGACCTGAGAATCAGTTGTGTGATTTCCTTCAAGAGTTGCTGACATTACCTTCCATCCACAATAATGGCACTCTAAACCCTGACAATAACCTCGCTATGGACTCGACGGTTGAAGTCTAACTTACTCTGATACAGGTCTTTCCAGTAACGCATGAATCCATCCGGGTCTTTCAAGGTTGAACTTTACTCGTCGCTGAATATTACGTCGTTCCATTCGGAAGTCCTTTTGATATGACTTGTAACATAACTCGACCATCGATTTGGTGGTCTTTTATCCGTGATACTGATTTCATCTTCTGGAATTGCATGTTTAGTGCAGTTTGAAACACGCCGCACATTCACACAAATATAATAATCGTTGCCACTTTGACACACTTATCATCTGCTTTGTAGCAGCAAGTCTGTTACCTTGATCAGAGATCTTTGGTTGAATGCCTCGTTTATTCTCGGAGTCTTACAGATGTGAGTCGGTCAAAGGGTTACGGACGATCCGCAATGGTCGCTGATTAACCTTTCGAGTACTGGCACTCTGGTCTTTATAGGAGGATATTTCGCTTTGTTTCAGCTCCGATAGCCGTGATTCGTGCGTGGTTCTTCTGTTTCAACAGATGAGTGGTTCGCGAACTCAACCACAATGCCTGACCTTGGTAACCGTCATTCGCCAACGTTTGTGACGTGACTGTTACTCGACATTGCATAAGTACTCATCGCCTAATCGGTCTGAGTTTTAACTGACTTATATACCTTACGCGTTAAGCTATGGAGTGTACTTCAATGCCAACACTCAGGGTGGGGTTAATAGCATTTTCCACCTTAAGAGCACATTTTCTAGCATAAATCAGTTTAGCAAAATCGTGATCAAAATCTGTCTGTTTTATCTAAAATGGTTATGAGTGTTATTATCATCATCCTACTGAACTTGAATAATTGGGTGTTTCGATCACCACAAAATTGTGAAAAAAATCTGCGCGGGATTAATAGGTTTTCATGCTTTATGGTGTATTAAAATACCGAATAGACCATAGAAACAGGGTCCTTGATTGTGTCGTACACAATGATATATATCGTATCAGTCGATTTTTGCACTTCTGTAACCTTGTTCCTAGGTGTCCTTCTGCTGACATTCCCGTTTCTTTCTATTGTCGCCAGGTTGCTTCAACAAATCCCGCCCTGATTTGCTTAGTTAATATTTTTTCCAAACGATAAACTGAATACTACCAGGCATTATATGCCATCCCCAAGTCTTCATAAACAACAACACATTTGCGAAAAGGTTCGCAAATGTCAGAAACGTGATGCAAAAAAGAAGATGGGTTTCCCCACAAGAACAGAGTTTATCAGATTACCGGCGTACTTCTGATAATCACTTCAATTGTTTAGTTCTTTCTGGGGACGCGAATCTTGTTACTAACCTTTTATCCCGGAGGTTGGTTAGAGATGAGTGACTAAGTAGTCTGTTGTGTATTTTCTTATCCTTCGTGTATTCACTTTTGTTGACCAACTCTACTCTATCTACTTCCACATAAGTAACAGTGAATTATATGGTTTATTCCTTGGTGGAGTGGATGTCTGTTAACCTGTTTGTTGCACACACTATCCCCAAACTGTCATAGTTTCTCTTTTTTCGTTCATTCACCTAACAATCTATCCATTGTCAGTCGCAGTTCCGCCAGTCCGGACTGGTCGGAAACCGGTGACCGGTACATGCTGAAATTGTTCCGAGATTTCTTGTTTCACCAAACCGATCAACTTGGCGCACCCTACTTGGATCTGGCTCATGTGATAAGCGCCCTGAATAAGGTCAGTCACTAGTCTCACACATACGCGTCGTTTTCAAATACGTTTCGCGTGGTCCCGAGGCCTTTGTGCGTGTGCACACTTCTACAAGACATTTGATGTGAAATTCTGGTGAAGTTCAATTGCATCTGAATCATTTTTCTCATTTTCTGGTCTGTGAGAACAAAACTGCCAATTGTTAGAATGCATGAACTGGTTTCTCATCAAGCCCCAGACCAGTCGATCTTAGTTTGGTGTTGGCGCAGTGGTTTAGTCGCTGTCATCGGCGTGCTTTAGACCCCATGGTCCGAGGTTCGAGCACCGCCACCGCCACTGCCACCCGACTTTGGTGGTAGGCAGCTCTGCTGTCGTCCGGTTCAATACCACGCCTAGCCTATCGGGGCCTTATGTGGTTGGTCACTCCAAGTTCCGGGGCTTAGGTTGCCGATTTCAACCACTGAACAGCAGGTCCTCGTGACTATGGGTTTACCCCGTCTGCTGTTCATCACACCTAGGTATATAATAAAACAAAATAACCCAAGTGCTTGCGATCAAGTGTTTTCATTCCTATTAATTTAGACTGGCATGGAAGTCTTTTCATCCGCGGGTTGCCAAGCCTGGTTTTGTTGTTTCCTTTCCCATAACTCTCCTTATGGAAGCTAGTTGAATGGCACGTCAGACCAATCTCGACTAATTTTCACATCGCAGACCTCTTTCTTGTGCACTGGATCGTACATAGAATTAATGATNAGATATTCTGAGCTTAAGCTGCTATCAATTATCGCTTTCGTTCGGTATTTTGCCGTGTTTCATGAAAACACTGGTCACCCATTTCCTGTTTATCGAACCAAATTCGTGTAATGTAGCTATTATTGATGAGCCTACCACTTTCTAGGAGTTCATGGCCTGGATTGCCTTTTTGCTTCTCATTCGAGCATCTGCTTAAGCGTACAGTCATTAACTATCTTATTCTCCGACACTGCTCTACCATCGTGAGCGGGACCAATTTTGTTTGGGAGCACCTGTTAATTCTGCGATCATTTGTATATAGATTCTCTTAAATGTTGGTGTTCAGATTTCTCTATAACCCAGTTTTGCTTATCAGTAAAGTTTTGTATATCCCTGTGATGTTATTTCACTGCGCTACACTCTTCCATATTAACCCATTATTACAGGTTGAAGCCGGGTCCACAGAACGTCTGTGTTTGGTCAGCCGTGATAGTCAGAACGTGATCATAGTAACCTATGCGGAAGTGAAGCATTGGCTAGATTCCAGTTTTAATCATTTGGTTGAACGACATCGTCAGAGCCGATGTGATTTGCAGATAGCTCAACAACGGGACGCAAGGCAACAACAACAACAGCAGCAGCAGCAGCAACAAGCTGCGAGTAACAACCCCGAACAAACCGATCCTGGGGTATCCGATCGTAGAATTGATGGCGATCCAACAAATGAACAATGATCTTTAGGCGTACCGGGTAAGTACTTGTCAGAGAGCGTATCAGGCTGGTTTTTGCGGGATGATGATTGCTCATTGAAATGCCTTGCCCCTTAAGCTCCTAGACTCGAACCTTGCAACCGTCACCTCACTTTGGTTGATATACGGCTTCACTGTCGTCCACCTCGATTTCCCACAAAATGCCCCTCCAAATTTCAAGGTCTAGGCTGCCGGCTATCATGACTGAACAGTAGGTGCTCGCAATTATAATGTTTATTCCACAAGCGCGTAGTAAAAAGAGCCCATCTGTTTCTAACAACATAAGGCAGGAGATTACCATCTAACATACATTTAACATCCTAATTCTACCTTGGCGTAGTTTCGCATATTTATGTTCAATGTAAATCTCAGAAACAAATTTACTTTCTCTATCGCTATGCTTCACTTCTGGCCAGAAAAGCATAATTATGCCCACTGGTTTATTCATTTAGATTCACTGATCCCGGCTCCTTAGTCGTTGGTAAGAATTTGTGATCCATCGATTTTGATTGTCACTTCACGCGACAGCATTGATGAAGTTTCTTCATCACGCCTTCATTTAGCATTGGCGATGATTTTCAGAGACAACTTGATAAATATCGAAAGTACGCTCATTGCTTGCCAAAGCCTGAACGTTCTCTAACGTCCCAATTAATCTCATTTCAAGCTCCCGCGTGGAATTTATCAGACTTACATGAAGGGTTGAAGGTAGATGAAATTAAGGGTTATAGATCCTTGTCTTAGTATTAATGTGTCTTATTAGTGATTTTTTCTTAGCTCGCACTTTGTGATCATTTCATACTCATTTCACGTGTTAGTCTGCTTTTCAGATACTGTTTGGGTCTCTACTCAACGCGTCCTGTCCGCCTAGTTCCCTTTCGACTATTCTCAGTCCTTTGTTGACCAGGTGGCATTCGCGCCCGACTACTCACTGTTTCAACCAGCCTACGCTGTACATCCCCCTCAGTACCGTCCACGTGTCTTCTGATTCGCTCAGGTCACATAAGATGTTTGGATCTGTGCCACCCTGTCTTTTTCTGTATCACTTTATTCTGTTCATAAATCTCCTTTGTGAACTGTTGTCCTCTTGACTTCACGACTGGTGCTATTCAGTGACTGTTTGTGACTTTGAAAGGCGAATCTGTTGCTGCGCCCTTGACTTCAACAAACAGGCGGATCAGGTTCATCCGTATGGCAGCAATTCACCGGTACACAAAATCTGTACACTGTGTTTTATCGCAATTATGCTCCAGAGTGAATTATTCTCATTTTTCCATTGTCTTCGTTGCCCTCTATCCCTTCTTTTTGTTAAGCCAGTTATCTTTCTTCCATCGACTCAACTCTGTATTTTCGCACCTTTCTGTGGTATGCACACGCATATCTGCATTCTACTCGGAACCAACTCCTGTGACATTTACAAGATCGCCAATTCGGTTTCCGCATGTGGCACCGCATTTGAGATTATTCCATCTGTTTCAGTGCTCTAATTCTTTTTTGCATATAGATCGATTGAATTTGACATCTCTATTTTCCCGTCAACACTTTCTTCCACTTGTCGTTCATATGCCTTCCATCTTTCAAATGCCTATCCCGTTAACTGTCCTCTGGCAACCGAATGCGCAATCAATCTTACGGACCGGTTTTACGTCCCGTTCTTTCTGACTCCTCCCGGTCCTTTTTATGGATAAAAGCATTCAGTGTTGTTTGGCTACAGTGTCTGCCATTTGTTGGTAGCTCGCTCATATGTTCGAATGCTTTATGTCCGTTCCTATTTTCCAGGTCTGTTCTTGGACAGTGTATCCGAGTTATTTTGATTCTCATGCTTGATTATTCGATACCGACCTGTTCTCCCCTCCTGCTCTTTCAACTTTTCACGGTATTCTTTCCAGGGTGCATTTGCTACACACACGTAATCCCAGTCAGTCAATCTGCTATCCAGTCCGGTTGATTCAGTCTGAGAAAACCATGTTGTGCTCGTCAGTCTATTTTGTGATCCATTTTGCATGCCACCAAATTCCCCCGTCCCGTAAACTAGGTAGCACGCAATCTTGTCGCGTGGCCTTTGAGAACCACTGTTTTTTCTGCGAGTTACCATGATTACTTCTCTGTGAAATATTTATTTTGTAACTAAAACCGTATCGTCCTTCTCTCTATCTCTACGTTCCCATCCATGTATGCCGAAAACTATCAAAATACATCAAAATGTTAACAAATTATCCAGTTTGTTTGCTATTCCTCATCTCCTGTTGGAAATCCACAAGGTAACTTCGAAATTTGATCCAAAGCCAGTTGACACGAACTCCTACAGTCTTTCTTGTATGCAAACGAAGTGTAAACGTGGCCCAGTGGGTTTGTAAGTAATCTGTGGTGAGCTAGCCACAGGTCTGCCGACATCAGCTGTTATGTATTTGGTCGGTGTGGTAAATTCAAGTTGAAAAAAATTAGAGCTGTTTGCAGCTGCAAAACCACTGATAGAGTTCAACCAATCCTGTGAATGCCAAATGCGTAGCAATCCCCAACACGCCATCTATCCAAGAGCCTAAGGAACGACTGTGAGAACTGATAGGTGGAGAAATGTATTGAGATGCAGAAGGCCGGGGTCATTGGTAACTGCTGCTACCTTTTCCTTCGAATCAGTAGTATGAGTCCGCGGAAGGTATGTAAGATAATAAGGGGTCTGACAGTACACTGTCAGTGACGCTATTGGGAATGATTGGTAGAACGTTTTAAAGCGTAAAGCAGGTGCTCAACATGACCTGTGGGCACTGGCCTTAGTTTGTGCCATGCAAGGACACCATATAGGTTTCATCATACAGTGTTTACTGAGGCAGACGATAAGTGGTAAAATGTTCTGAGTGATTGCAATAACA